CTCTGTGCTCTGCCGGCCACAGAGACTGGCGAAACGTTAGGAAGAACAACCTCCAGAACACGGCCAAAGAGCCCGAAAAACCCACAACAACCATTAGATCCTGGACATGAAAGCCTTCGTGAATACATTGTTTCTCTAACTCTTTGAAATATTGCGATATCCCTGCTAGACTGTGTTGAGGTAGCAGTGGCTGTGTGGCCGGTCACAGAAGTGGCAGGCATGCCCTTTCTCTCCATTGTGGCTGGCCTTTGCCTTGCCATTTTAATTTCCAGTTCAAAGGGTAGGTGTGGGTGAGAGACAGCTTGGAAGCAGGCAGTTTGGATTCTGAAATGCAGGGAGACTTAGTAAGAAAGGCGATTGTGACCAGGGGCACCAGTCTTCTGCCCAGCTCAACCTATCTTCTTTCCCAGGATGAAGACTCAAGACAGGACCAGCACATCACTGCTGCACCAGGAAGAAAATGGGAGGACAATGTGACTCCACCACTGACCCTGCTGTTGGAGAAGGTATCATGGCGCCTAGAAGTCATGTCAACCTTGTGTGCCTGCCAGCTTTCTTGTTGTCCATCAACCTGGTAGTGACAGAAGGGGCTGAAGAGATTAATGGGAGGAGCATGTGGGCAGAGGAAGGGAATTTAAAGGGTGAAACTGGGTATGATGGGAAAGTGGAAGATGACAGAGGGAATATGGAGGGAGGAAAGGAGGACAGAAAAGCAAAAGGAGGAGGAAGAGCTGAGCAGGTATAGCAGTATAAAAAGTGAGTCAGGAGGGTGCAGGTAGAGGCAAGGAGCTGGAGTGTTTGTATATGGGCAGACAAGTGAATGGTGGCAGAGTAGAAGTAGAATACCCTTTCACCAACTGACTGCCAGGGCCTGTCAGCCCTCCACCCACTGAGGAGACTGCCATGGGTGCTTGGGGGGTTTTGATCCGACATTGGACCAGAATCAGTCAAGATGGTGAAGAATCAGAGTACAGTAGAGGGAGACAGAAAAATTGTAACGTAAGGCCATGAAAAAGGTATTGGTACCCAAGAGCTAAAGCTACAATTGGGAAGCCCAACTCTAATAGAAGACACGTGGGTGCGTCCTCCATAAAGCAACATCAGGACTGAGAAAGGTCCCTCTTGACCCCTAGCTGGACTAGGTAGGGCATGAATGGGACTTACCACCAAATTCCTCAGCTGCCAGGACAAGTGGATGTAAATTGTACTTACCAGGTGGTGGTAATAAAGCCTAGCTGGCCTGTGGACAACTGATGTTACAAGTCATGTACATAGACGAGGGGGTTAGCTTTGCCCTCTCAAGGAGCAACACTAGAACAGTGATCAAAAGAAAGCAAGCTTCAGTGGACTTTATCAGGGTGAAGACAGCTCCTTTCCAGCATAGCTCCGGGGGCTTCTGTTTTTTGTTTTGTTTTGTTACAATTCAGTGCACCACTAATTATCTCACTGCATAACCTGTGCAGATGGTTAGCTTGCACCCAAATGGAGCTGTGGGCGGCGTTAATTGTGGAGACGAGCCTGTGACATATTAGGTGGGCTATGACATTAAAAGGGAGGACAGATAAACCCCCTCCGTTAATTTCATCTTTTAAAAAAATGTTCCCTAATTCATAAAGTAAAATTCTAATACTACATTAGGTTGATGCTTTGTTGTTTGGATATGCTACTTGTTTTTTTTTTAAATCTCCCTCCCTCAAAGGGATGCAGCTGACTGAATCATGGCTGTGGGAAAAGATGGAGAAGAGGGCTATGTTGACCCCATGAGCTCCATCTCCACAAGGCAGCACAACCTCAGTAGATCCCTGACTGAGGACAGAGAAGAAAAGGGGGTTTACCTCCCTTCCATTTTCCCAACCTTCATCACAGCATACTCCCCTCGCATTGTCGCTGTTGATGCCGCCTCATTTGTGAATAAAGTGGGTAAACTTTACACATGAGTAAACCATTGAACTGAAGACCTGTGTGGAGCATTCTTATAGGAGAATAAACATCCCTAGTGTGAATGGAAGGATTGCTCGAGTAAAATATAAAATAGGTCACACTGCAGATAAGCTTTTAAGCATGAACCAGACCACTCCAAATTCCCCTGTCTATACAGGCCCTTAATTTCAGTTGGATTTTTCCAGGACTACATTTTAAAAAGAAATCAGGACTATATAATGATTTTAACTGCATGTGGAAAAAAAAATCAACATAACTGCCACTGTCAGCCCAATCAGTTATAGCATTATTTTTATTCTGTGTCCTAATCCTCTAGTTTGGGCGTTGCCCACCACATGTGGTTCAAATATCTTGTCATTCACAAATTCTTGATAGAGAAGTCAATTTTCTAAAATCCCATTACACTTTTTCCCCAAATTGAATCACACATTACCTAACAGACTGCTTTCATAATAAACATTAGCCACAATTTGTGTGTCCAGGTCATGTAATATAGTGACTGAAAAACTCATTTTGGAGAAGTAACTACAGTATAAAAATACACTTTGACAAGGTTAATGTTGCCATGGTAAATAGTTTCTGGAACATACAGACTGATAATGCTTTTTTAAAGTTCAATGTTCGTAGTGTAGCTTTTAAAAATTAATAGTTCAAATGAAACTACAGAATTTTATTATACAGGAACAAATCTTGGAACTAACTCATTGCAAATAACACGTTAGCTGCAATTACATCTAATTTTCAACAACTGTTGCTGAAAAAATCATACTTTTGAGACAAATGTTGAATATATGGAACATCTAGTGTGTATCATGAAAACAATCATTTTTGTAAAGTATTGATGGTAGTGGGGAACTGGCATTCCAAATCTGAACATGCTGAGGATTGTTAAAAAAATTTTTAAAAAAAAGGTTTTGAATATATGTCCACTAAATTTTACTTTGCCAGTTCTTCCTGCGGCACTTATTTTTATGAAGCGCTCATGGGGTTCTGTGCCAGTGCCAGCAGAAATGAGATATCTTGACTCTAATAAGACAGAGCCTGTTGGGAATAACTATACAATATACGCTTTGCTATTTTTAAGGGAAAAATGGGGCTGGGGAAGTGTGTTGTGTTGTAGTACAGAATGAGGGAATTATGTAGCATTTTTAAAAACTGCACTTGCAAAAAAGGACGAAAAAAGAGAGAGCAGGAACAATCACTATGCCAGGAAAATGTTTTATGAAATTTGTATTGGATGTGTCAGGGTAAGCATAGCCTGCTATTAAATTAATCTTCCTATAAACCTGGCTTCATGATGAAATTATAACTTCAACCAAATTATTTGGTCCTTCCCAATAACCAAACCTTTCTGATGAATAGCCAAATGGGCAGTGGCCAAACTGGCCTTCTTTCATAGATCTGGTACAACGATAGAAAGCTCTTCCTGTAAACAGTAACATTACAAGATTTAATATATTATGCTTTGAAATGAGGGATTAGCATGACCTAAATTTATATTTTCGTTCTTGTAACACCGACATCTTATTCTCATGGGGGCTAAAAAAGAGAGAGAGAGAGCGCATAAGTCAGTCAGTATATGGTTTCATTAGCAGCCTATAAGGCAGAATAAACAAAAAATGTAGGGAGATCAGCCCAGTTTCACTGTCCTCTTCCCGGCTGCACACAAGATCTAGCTCTTTCAGTATCAAAAGCCACTTTAGAATCAACTTTAATGCAGAAAAGTTATCCTTACTTAGCATCTACGTATGTTTATAGTCAGAAGAGGGAAAAGGGAAGGTGAATGGCGTCTTGATGCATGGAGACAGCCCCCATATCTGTTTCTTATGATTAGAGAAAGAAGAGAATGCAGCCAAGACAATAGAAGCAAACAAACATTTCGGGGCTTGCCCCAAAATGCCGGAGGAAAAGTTTTATGAATCTGTTAGTGGCAAAGAACAATCACTCAAGGCTTTGTACCTCCTCCGCTGATACCCAGAGTTACTGTTGGTGTTAACTTACTTGTATAGGTAAGGATCTGACAAATGCTTTGTGCAATATAATTCAGCAAGACATTAGTTTAAATATTACAGCTGCCACGCAGAGGCCACTTTAAGTTACTTCACATGGCTCTGGTTTTATGAGCCATTCCTGAGCAGTGAGTCTTTGCAAGGATTATGTGTTTCCACATGCAATCCTAAATTTTTCTTTATACGTAGTCTCTTTTAGAAGGTCTTGTGCTACTTGCACAAGACATGGTCTAGAGGGGCAGGGTAAAAATCTAATAAATAAATAAATAAATAAATAAATAAATAAATAAATAAATAAATAAATAAATAGTGAAACACTGCACTTGACAGTTCACCATAAGATAGCATTTACTGGGTAATAAAGTTACAATGATTTCCATTTGTTGGCTATAACTTTCTAAGTAATAGACCAACATTTTGCTTTTTTTGTAAATTGTTCTGGGCAATCCTATGGATGCATATTCAGAAATAAGCCCCACTTTGCTAGGCAAAGACTTTTTGCTAGGCAAGTACAGTCAGGACTGTGACCTCGAATCAGTGAATAAATATCTCATTCCTCAACACATTCTTTCATTCTTAACCTGCATGCTGCCCCCATGTGGAAATAATGGCAGAACCCTGAAACAATTCAACTGTTAATTTGGTGTGAGCCACAAATGAACCAATGCAATAATCTTGATATTTTGAAGGTCCCAGGTAATGAATGTGGGTGGGTGTGCAGCTCCTTGCTGAACAATATGCAGGAGCACAGGCTTTACCTATCTCCGTCTGAAGGAGGGACCCTTTCTTTTCTATACTTTGGAGCACAACTCCCATTGTCCCCTACCAACCTTAGGCTTGCTAAGCAGTTCTAAACGTAGAAAATTTTTAAAAAAGGTATTCCTCCCCCCCCAAAACTCTGAAGAATATAAAAAGGGTTCGTCAGTCGCACGTCTGTCCTCAGCTTTCCGTCCTGGCGCTTATGAAAAAGTTACAGGGCAAGATACTGTACGTATAATACAGTATAGCCTGTTTGCTGTGGCGCAGCCAACAACCTTCGCCAGCTTCCTTTAGGGAAGGAAATACCGCCACAAGATGGCGCCCCTGCCTCTTCCTCCTTCCCTACATGTGACTTCCAGGAACGGGCAGCGGTATGTGTGGCGTGCCATTCGCTTTGCCTGGGAGAGGGTACCCGGTTCTCCCGAATCCATCCAGACGGGTCTCACCTACGCCACGAAAAAGGTCCGCACCGCCACCCCCATCCACCCCCGTAAGGGTGCCCCAGTTTTGCGGACGGTTGTGCTGCCCCCGCCCTTCCCCTGCCTAGAACTTGATTTTGCAAGTTTGCAACGGCGGGCGGCGGCTGGCAAAAGCGAAAGCGAAAGCGTGTGCAAGGCTTGTTGTGATGACGGTGGGCGCCGCTTCTTAGCAAAGCCGAGGAGCGCTGTTGCTTTCGGATTTCCTCCCTGCATCTTGGGGAAAGGCGCTGTAAGTTTCGCTCTTTTTATTTCAGTGTAACTTTCTGCAGTTTCTCTTATTTTGAACGGAAAGTGGTCAGAGATGAGGTTTGCTAAAGCAACGGAGAGGGCTTGAGATCCTCCCCCCGAGGTATGGTTCGCCTCGGGATTTCTGCCTCTTTAGGTGGTAGGCAAAACCGTCTTATTTTTAGTTAGTTATTTATGAAGTTATTTAGAAAGATAAACTTTTTGAGCTCAAGATTGGGTGTGGGCACCCTGCGTCTAAATCGCGGGCGAGATCCTGTGCTCCCCGTCTCTGAAGAACTGGATTGTGATATAGAAAAAGTCGACTAAAAGAAGTTTAGGAAATAAATACGTAAAAGGCCTTATGGTCACCCGAGATTACGCAAACACAAATTTGTTAGTCTTAAAGGTGCCACAACACTTTCGGTTTTTGTTGTGACACAAGGGAATATGATGTAGCCTAGGTTTCGTGGTTGAGGGCTCATCTGGGTGGCCATAAAGTGGGCAGGAATGGCATTTGCCCAGGAAAAACTAGATGCCTCAGTGAAGCAGATATGGGGAACCTAAGCCCTAAGTATTGCATATGCTGGCTACAGACTGATGGAAGTTGTAGTCCAACTGCCATCAGCCCCTTTTCCCCCACCCTGGTGAGTATAGGATTTGCTTTGCCCTGAGGACAAGGTCTCTCCAAAGTGCATCGATTATATTTTCTGCATTAGTTGAGGTACAACTTTAGGCCGGTTCGAGGCATGGCAGGGCCCAGAAAGGGCTTCACTTCTTTGGCCATCAGTACATCGTTCTCTGTGTGCTTTCCTGTCATTCACTTTTGCTAGTGATTGATTTATTGTGACTGATTTAAGGGTCTCCTTACTCACTCTCTCTCCCCCCCCCGGTTTTTTTAACAAAGCAGTTGTGTGTCTTTTCGCCTAGGAGAGTTGTACTTGTTGAATACTATCTGCCACTTTTAAAGGCCGACGCAGGAGCTCTGTGAAGTGAAAAGAAAATCTGTGGAAGCCGTGTCTAGATATCAACTCTGAATGGCCTGAAAGCAACTTGGAGTGTTTCTGAGTGGCATTAGCGTGGGGTGTGTGTGTGTGTGTTCATCAGCTCTTTGTTTCTCTCTCTCACATTCACACACACACACACCAATTTTCATAGGACATATACAGATGGCTGTCTGGATTTGTGGAACTTAACATGTGACAATGCAGACACCCCAACTCTTGGGCTTTGTGGTGGAGGCTGCAGAGTAAGGAGAGAGAGAGGGTTTGAGGTGGGCAAGGGGAAGCACAGAGGAAAAGAAAGAAGCACAGAACGAGGGACCCCAAGGAGTTGTCTCTGCCTTCGTACTGTATGTGTATAGAATCCAGCGACAGAAGGCATGGCTAGTACGCATCCCCTTGAGACTATGTAGCATGGCCTTCTGAGACTGAACGGCCATATTCCCCAGCACTCTTGTGTAGTTTTTGTAAATACATGTATACAGTACCTCGTATCAGCAAAGCAGGATCTCTTGAGTGTTCCCTTATTGTCACATGTACCATGAGAAGCAGTAACTGAGACTGCATGAAGTCAAGTTGTGCCTTTCTAAACTCCTTTCCTTAGGAAGCCCCATTATGCTGCTTTTCATGGGACTTAGAAAAGTTACTTTTTAAAGTTACAACTTCAGAATCCTTCAGTTGGCATGGGCATGATCATGTTGATTGTGGGATTTTCCGTGAGAAAAAAACCACCACCACACATTCCCGTGTGTCAGTCATGTCAGAGGCGGGGCCTTCATCTTGCTGAGGTGACTTGTTTTTGCTGCTACAGCTTCCTCGATAGCTGTTGTTTTCAGACACAAATTAGTAATCTTTCCTCCTTTTCTTTGGTTTATAGGCCAATATCTTTATATTTACACCAGCCATCTTAAGTCCAGTGGTGGAAATCTCAGCTGTTTACTGCTGCTAGCTAAGAAGTTGGTGCTTGCATTTCTTGTCACACACCAGTCATGTTACTTGGCATATGAAAAGAAATACCAGCTTCAAGCACTTAACTGGTAACAATTCACTTAAAAAAGTTATACTGTTATACCAAATTCAGATATAAGTAATAGATTTCCGGATGTTTGATGGCATCGCCCCCTTTTGCTTAAAAAAAAAAAAAAGTAAAAGCATGGGGAAAAAATGCTGAGCAAAACCATACAATAAAACCATTGGAAAATTAACACACACTGTCACTCCTGTGCCTAATTGTGTTTTGTAGAACATGGAGAAAGATGCCATTCCTGGAATATCTGCAAATGAGAGAAACAATTTTAAAGAACAACTGAAGGTAAGGTCTGTAAATGCAAATTCAGTTCTGGATAAGTAAATCTATATGTTCCACTCTAACTTTGTACGCAGTATGTGATGTTTCAGTATTTTTGGCTGTTTTATAGAGTATGGAGAAAGGTGAAACTCCAGGAGTGCCAGTAAATGAGAAGAAAACTCTTACAGGACTGGAAACGCTCATGGCAAGTTTTGTAGGTACAGTCAACCCTCGACTTACAAACTTAATCCGTTCCAGAAGGAAGTTTGTAAGTCGAAAAATTCGTAAGTTGAATCAGCATTTCCCATAGGAATGCACTGAAAACTAATTAATCTGTTCCGGCTGTTTTTGGTTCTTAGGTAGAGGGGTGGTTTGTAACTCGAATCATTCGTTCCCATAGGAACTAATGCAAAGCCGGTTAATCCGTTCCTACAACTAGGGGCAGAATTTTTTCCTTTTTTTCCTTTTAACCTAAGATGACTTAGGCTAAAAAAAGGAAAGAAAAGAGTGAAGGAAGGAGTGAACAGACACCTTTTCAACAGAACACCTTGAAAAGCAACTTTTCAGCCAAGGCAAGCACCTTCTGGGAAAAACCAAGCACCTTTCAGACAACAGATCACCTTGAAAAGCACCTTTTCAATCAAGACAAGCCAATACAAGCACCTTTTGGGGGAAAAGGGTGCAGAAAAGGAGGGAGGGAACACCTTTTAAAATCCAAAAATCAAAAAAAATTTAAAAGCCAAAAAATAAAAATACAGTCCATACAGCACTGTACCAGGCAATACCAGGCAGTCTAAAGACTGTCTCCAATTCCATTCTCAAAATGCTGGGAATGCTGGGAAGAGTGAGGAAGCAGACAGGGACCCTCTTCACTGGCCAACGGTTAACTGAAAGTTCAAATTTCGCACTTTCCCCACCTCCTCCGTGTTTTTTTCGGTTCGTAACTCGAATAAGTTTGCAAGTCGAGTCAATATTTTTCTATCAGAGTGGTTTGTAAGTCGAAATGTTTGTAACTAGGGCTGTTTGTAAGTCGAGGGTTGACTGTACTCCTCTGGCTCCTGTTAAACAGATAAAAATTTGCTGTCCAAAATTGTTAACACTATTATTATGTTAACGCAATATCGATATTTGCAAGGAACTGGAAAAACAATGATCAATTGAGGTTGGAGGAATGGTATAATGAGATGTGGAATCTTGTTATTAATGATAAATTAACTTGTGAATTAAAAGTTAAAAAAGGATTATTGAAAGAAAACAGTTTTAATAGGATTTGGAAGGTTTTACTAGAACATGTATTTACTAAACAAAGGTTATGCCCCAAGAATCATGTTTTTGGAAAGAGATGGGGCACATGATATGAATTAAGATTGAAAGTATTGATGAAGATATTCCTGAAAGTGGTGGGTTACACTGCATATTTGACTTATGATTGTATTTATCATTTATGTTTTTGTTATCAAGTATTTTTGATGTAATCTCCTATGTGACTTTTGTTTATAATACAGTGGTGCCTCGCTAGGCAGTTATCCCGCATGACAATTTTTTCCCTAGACATTGACTTTTTGCGATCGCTATAGCGATTTGCAAAACAGTGATTCCTATGGGGGAATTTCGCTGGACAATGTTTGGTCCCTGCTTCACAAACTGATTTTCGCTAGACAACGATTCTGACAGCTTCCTCCGCACTCACAAAACAGGTGTTTTCAGGACCTGAGCTTCGCAAGACAGCTATTTAAACAGCTGATCGGCGGTTCACAGAGGCTTTCCTATGGCCGATCTTCACTAGACAACGATGATTCTCCCCCATTTGGAACGCATTAAACTGGTTTCAATGCATTCCAATGGGGAAATGCTTTTCGCTAGACAATGAAAATAGCGATTTCAATGGAACGGATTATCATCGTCTAGTGAGGCACCACTGTAAAAAAAAATTAAAAGAAAAAGAAAAAAACTTTTAAAAACACATTTTCTAATGTACAGGAGTTTTACAGGCATTTTTTAAATAGATAGGTTGATTTTGTGTTTCTCAAGAGATGGAATTCTCTGGTTTGTTGTTTACATAATAATGTAGAATTATGTTACAAAACCTGAGTGCTCACTGGAAGGACAGATCCTGAAGCTGAGGCTCCAATACTTTGGCCATCTCATGAGAAGATAAGAGTCCTTGGAAAAGACCTTGATGTTAGGAAAGTGTGAAGGCAAGAGGAGAAGGGAACGACAGAGGATGAGATGGTTGGACAATGTCATCGAAGCTACCAGAATGAATTTGACACAACTCTGGGAGGCAGTGGAAGACAGGAGGGCCTGGCGTGCTCTGGTCCATGGGGTCACGAAGAGTCGGACACAACTAAATGACGATGCTACAAAATGGAAATAAATGTTATTTTTAACCTTTGCATTGTAGAGTATAGGTGAACATGAGATGCCAGGTGCATTCGACAGTGAAAATCGTAAAGAATTGGAAGAATGGAAGGTGAGTGCTTGTGCCATTCACAGATGGTAGTAAGACCCATATGCGTAGGCTCATACGGTTTTCCAGTTAGTTCTGCAGTTCTGCTGATAGTGTGTTCTTTGTGGTTTATAAAGCTTATTAGCCATATTTCACTTGAAACACTAAAACAGCATTGATACATTTTCCATTACTTACTAAGGAGAAGCTTGTGAAGGCTGAAAAACTGAAGGCTGACATGCTTCTGTTAAAACTTGCTGCTGATGAAAAGAAAAAGACACTTCAAAATGAGTTGGAGAAGCTAAAGGATCTGGTTTCTAAGAAGAAAAGACAGGAGGATCATAAGGTAATGAGAGAACTTATGCACATGTCACCATTTTAAAATAAAATCAAAATAGTTTTGATTGTGGAGAAATGAGGGTATTTGCAGAGTCCAACTGAGGGCCCATCTGCATCGCTATATAGATACGATATATGGCTCACTCATGGCGTGGTTTGTATAGGAAAAAAAAGACCTCATTCATACGTTTTTCCACTTAGAATGATCCATCTTTCCCCTTTAAGAGTTGTTGTGCACCTTTCTGGCCTTGTAGTAGGGCATGCATTCTTTTTGGCACACGTGTTGTTTAGCCTGGTGATTGCCGCCTCCAGCAGCCTCTGATATCATGGCTGCAGATTTTGAGGGGGACGTGGGGGGAGAATGAGAGAAGGGAAACAGGAATGAGGAAGGGAGAAAACAGAATGGCACTGACAAAGGGAAAGAGGAGCAACGTAAAAAAAATCAGTTCTGACCCTCTATAGATGATCAGGGGAAGTGCTTAATTGACAGCTGATCTGGCCACGAGGGATCATTTACTTTTTGGGGGAGCAACACACCAAATGGCACATCGCACCTCCCCTCAACCTTAACAGACCCTTTGTAGCCCAAACCACCTCATATCCAACATGGCCAGTCTGGACACACCCTGAATCTCACACCTAACATGCCTGTGTCTTGGAAACCCAATTCCTTTACCCCAGTAAGCAAGGGCTCATTGTGGTTGGTTTGAAGTGAGTGATATGTACCTTGTGCACATGACTGCAAGTTTGTTGGTGAATGTTCAAAAATATTTCCCCACACAAATCACATCTGACTAATACATATTTGTATATTATGTTTGTATTCTACAGAGGGATCTTTCCATAATAAAGGAGCAAAATACTGAGCTGAGGAAAGTAATTGGGTCACTTAAAAGCAAACTTGAATCAGTGACTGCTCAATGTGAAGAACTTGGAAGGAGTGTTCAGGTAATTTCTTGTTTTACTATTTGTCCTTCCAAATAGCATATTTTTATTCAGCATGATGAGATTGTGGAAATGTTATCACATGGTAAAGACAAATTGGCATGTATATATCCCATGTAAACATCTCAATTTGTGAGCTGAAAGCTTCCCTTTTTAGTGGTTGGGATATAAGGTAAAGGTTCCCCTTAACAATTTGTCCAGTCATGTCCAACTATAGGGGGCGGTGCTCATCTCCGTTTCCAACCCGTAGAGCTAGTGTTTGTCCGAAGACAATCTTCCGTGGTCACGTGGCCAGTGCAACTAGACACAAAACGCCGTTATCTTCCCACCATTGTGGTGCCTATTTATCTACTCGCATTTTGCATGCTTTTGAACGCCTAGGTTGGCAGGAGCTGGGACAAGCAATGGGAGCTTACTCTGTTGCGTGGATTTGATGTTACAACTGCTGGTCTTCTGACCTTGCAGCACAGAGGCTTCTGCGGTTTTACCTGCAGTGCTACCACATTCCCATATGTTGGGTTGGGATATACCAGTGGATATTCTGTTGCTTAGGGTTCCAGGTTGTACCAGAGTGGGCCCATTGAATGAGTGGGGAGTTGGTGAATCAATTTCTCTGTAAGTTCCACAGATTTAAATGACCTGCTTTATATGCAACTAAACTGCACTGACATCACAATTCAGGTAGGCCCCTTTGAATCAGAGAAACATATGGAGAACATCTCACCAAATTCCCACTGATTCAGTGGGCCTACACTAATGCTGCTTACCCTACTAACCAAAAGGATTTCAGCGACTTTATGATATGTAAATCACTTTGACTTTACAAAAGATACTGAAATGACTTTCCAGAATTACTATGTGGTGGAAATGCTACTCGGAGTTATTCAGGGAAAAAGAGTGGGAAGCAACTGTAATAAAAGTAATAATTGCGGCTGAGAAGAGTATTTGTGAAGTTAGAATTGCTCAGGAATTAGTCATAATCATTCAATTCTCTAAATCTACAGTACAATTTACAAAGAAATCCCAGGGGACCAAGTGTTTTACCAATACCTGGGCTACATGAAGGTGAGATTGACAAGCTCTAGAATGATATCGAAGTCTCATCCCTAAACTCTCCCCAGTTCTAGACAGAATGCTCATCTCCATAGCCTTAAAACATATTCAAAATAAATACTATAATAAGTTTAGTCTTCCTAAGATGTTAAAAGACTCTATGAGATGCTAGTTGTTGACCTAATTGAAGGATTGTCATTGAATTTGATTGAAAAGAAATTCTATTCCAAAAGAATGTCGAAGAAGAGAAAATTTCAGAGAAGTTCCTCTGGGTGAGGCTGGGTGCTTGCTTGCTTACTTCCTTACAACATGGCCGAGGAATGCGTGTGAATATCCTGTCTTTCACAGTACAATCATGCCTGTAATAACCAGCAGCTTCCTTCACTTCAAACTCCATGGCAATGCATCATAATGTGGTTCCATGTCCTGGGGTTTTTAAGATCAGAATGTATGGGCTGATGTCAAAGTGATGATGAGTTGTACAATTAAAATAAGGGGGGAATTCAGATTTAACCTTCTCAGCCAACTTGCATGTACATCACCAAAAGAAATTCTAAAGGGCCTTAGGAATGAGACATGGGGAGGTAAAATCTTTGGGAGGTTGGAGAACAAATTTTGGCCCAGTAGTAGTTCCACCTTTCTGGAGCTGGACACTACATGCTGACTTTCATAATTATGACAAGACTTAAAAGGAAAAGAGCTCTCCAGCATTTGCAGTAGATGCTATATGTGTAGAAAATCTATCTGGGAACCTCGGGGGAACATGCAGAATGTTGAAGACCGTCAAATAGTGCTGAAACAAATTTGACAGAAGACATGCTTCTGAGAAATGTCTGGAGATTTTTGTCTTATTGTGCCAGAAATAGAAGGCCGCTCTGCAAAATGTTCTTCACGTTTTCTGTAGTGTTTTTTGGTGGCTGCCTCTCTGCTATTGCCAGAGAGATGAGGCATGACTCCTTGTTAAGGGCATTGTGAAGGATATGAAAAGGGGTTTAGGTTGTCAGATGTTTTTGTCATGTGCCCTGATAGGGAGAAAAAAAAGAGAAACAAACCCAAAAACTGTTATTAAGGGGGAAGGATGGAGTTGTGAGCCCTGCCTTGGAAAAACGGATGCAGAATCGCTCCTTCTCGTGGAAAAATCAAGTGGAGTTGTCTCCCCCATTTCACTGCTCACAGATAGGCTGGAGAATTGTGCGAGGCCCTTTTGTACTGCTTGAATCTCAAACTGTTTATACAGAATGGCCTTCCTCTGTTTTCCTTTTGAAAACCTCTAAAATCCCTACTATGAGAGACTTATGACACTTTTTTTAAAAAATGTAGTCTCCTTCAGAAAGTGCACAAACTGCTATCTTAAATTGACAGATATATCTAGTGTTTGGTTTCTGGAATTCAGCAGTTTTGTGCCGGAATCCTTTAAGTTTCTTTGCCCCCAACTGTTTGCATCATTATATTTGCTTTATCTTCCCTAAAATAATAAACTGCATCGGAGCAGTAGAGTTTATGATTTGTAACACATTGGCCCACATATTGTTAGTCATTTTTTCTACATGCAGAAGGGTTCGTTACATGTGCTGCTGTCTTTTTTTATGGCTAGGGAGCAAAAGGGGATTCAGTAACCCCTTAGGTGGATATGAGTTCTGTTATACTGTGTAACTACAAGCTGGAGATGGATGGAACGTTTGTGAAGTGGTTCTGCTCATGAAGCAGGTATGCTACGTGATTGTTAGCAGGATTCCAGCCTTTGTACTTTCAGCCATTGTATCGTATCTACTCCTAGGCACATTTTTTCCTGATATAATAAGCATTAGAACAATGGTTCCCAACCTTGGGTCTCCAGATGTTCTTGGCCTAAAATTCCCAGAAGCCCTCACCACTGGCTGTGCTGGCCAGGATTTCTGGGAATTGTAGTCCAAGAACGTCTGGGGAACCTAAGGTTGGGAAGCACTGCATTAGAAACTAGTGACTGAAACCTCTTGCCTGACAGGAAAATAAATTGGTATTTTAAATTATCAGAAGTATAATAAATGCTCTTTATTCTGTCATTTTCTGTTTTTGTTTTAAAATACTAGCTCAAAAAACAGATACCTGAGAAGAAAATGAAGTGCACACGGCTGGAGAACGTTACGACTGAAGACAAGTATACGAACATGTCCTGTTTTTTTAAGATAACTCCAAAAATCCCATTCAGGGTGGGCCAAGGAGAAGCTCTCATCACATTTGAAGAAGAAAGTGGTATGTAGTGTATAGTCAAAGATACCGTATTTGCTGACGTACAAGGCGATTGGCCGTATAAGATGACTCTCCCAACATTTCCACTCAGAATATAGAGTGGGCGGCTCTGCTGTGGCGCCGGCTTATGGGTCAGTTCACGTCTTCAAAATCTGCAGCTTATTTCTAGATTTTTACCAACGCATGGGAAAAAGCCTTTTTTGTAAGCACAACTTTTTGGAATCATAGTCCAAATGAGTTAGTTTTCCAGTCTCTGGTTTAAGGGGGCTGAAGCCAAGCCATTTTCACACCCAGAACCTCCAAAACCCTCTCATAATCCCATGTTGTAAAAATAAAGCAATAAATTCACTTCATTCCAAACTAAAATAAAGCTTTTAGTTTGGGAAGCCAAACTTACCACATGAGGCAGCTTCTTTGTTCTCTCTTTTGATAGGTCTGATTGACATTAACAGCATTGTGGCCAAGATAATGAGAACACTTCTGAATATTCTCTACCTGAAAACTCCCAAAAAGGGTTGTTATGATTTAGAACTGACTTGATGGTGCCAGATTATTAATTGCGCAAGTGATAGGAAACCATACAAGACTAGCACCACTTTCTGGAAGTTAGGGGGTTATTGTTGAAAGTCTACTTGTACCCCTAAAGTTGCTGCTGTGAAGTTGCGTGAGTGCCTAACTCACAATTTTTTTACTAACCACATGATGACAGTGAACTTACTAGAGGCAGGGTCTAACATTAAAATGAGTGTTATACTTGTGGCTCACAAATTGTGAGCTTTCACAGACACAGGCATAACACTCATTTTAATGTTAGACCCTGCCTTTTGTAAGTTCACTGTCATGGAAGCTTATTTGCACATTATCTTTCAGTTGCACAAGAAGTGATTAGGAGACGCTCTCACACTGTGAGTCTTGAAAATGAAGATATAATTCTGCAAGCCCTGCCTGTTCCTCTGGAGACAGGAGTAACATTTGAGGTAACGGATTAATAATGAAAGCTTTTAAAATATGCTAAGGTGGCATTCATCTTGTATATGGGTGTGTGGAACCGCTAAGAATAACTTGTCCCCATGTATTGTAGTCCATCGAATTTTAAGCTATGACTATATCACGTTTAGACACTTTAGACCTTTGGATTAGCCGAGCTCAGTTTCTTGGTTTTATTTCACATGTGTAAATATGGAATTGGTCTGCATTGTTTTCCAGCTCCATGTTAAGATCCCTCAACAGAAGGTTCAAGTTTCTGACATCCCAGATCTTAATTTACCTGACGAATGGATGAGAGATAAGTTGGAACTGTACTTCTACAAAACGAAACTGGGAGGAGAGGTGCAGAACGTAACTTATGACCAGCAGTCATGCATGGCTCTTGTTACGTTTACCCAGCCAATAGGTAATTCCTGAAGTATTCCTGCAAGTTGGCCTTAAGGGATCCACCTTTTGACTGCACTTTTTGCACACTAACATCCATTCGATTTCAGATACATTGCATGTGGATGAAATATTTGAATAGCTCTTGACTAGGAATAAAAATCTTTCAGCTGTAACTCTCAGTTCTGTTTAAATGATTATCTGTACTACTAAAGTAAATACACTTCTTTGAATTGACTGAGCAGCACAGTCTTGGTTATACATTTTTTTCAAAAAATAAATATTCAATAAATACATTGCTGCTATTCTTCTCCAAGAAGTGGCTTGAGAAAGGTGGGTTTCTGGCTTACGTAGGGCCCTGTTGACAGTGTGGCTGGCCCCCTCTCTTGGCATGGTGCCAGGAGGCTGAAATGGGTGTTATGTGTGTGTTAACTGTTTATGCCTTGTAGCTACGTTTTTGGGGGAATAAGAATTATACACGGATTTTGATTTACGCAGGGGTCTGTTACTCCTAATCCCAGCATTGTTGAAAGGAGAAGTATATAGACATTACTTATTTTAGAAATTTAGAAAATCAGAACTGATTGAAAAATTAATTCTAAATTCAGTTTAGAATTTAATTTTGTTTAAAGTTGTCTCTTTTTCCTTTTATAGTTCTTTGAATAAACTACTTATTGGAACTATTTTTTTAAACTTTTGATTCTAGCTGCTAATGATATTGTGAAATATGGGGCATACCCTTTCCATGCAGGTGACTGGATTTTCCCAATAACAGTTTCCCCTATCAAACAGAGCCATATAGAAAAGTTTCAGGTAAGTAAATAATAATACGTAGCATGATTGACACAGTAACTGGGACCTGCAACTATGCACAGCTGTCATGTTTTGAGCCCAGTGTTTACTTGGACATAAGTCCCACTAAGTTACATGAGATTTAATTTCCAAACAATAGTGATAGGTCATGGCCTTATTTAAAGGCCAACCTGTTCTTCCCTGTACTTTCCCGAGAATAATGCTTTTCACATAATTTATCACAAAGAGGATATGTTTCCAGTAGCAAGTATGGCTTAAGGACTAGGAGAGGTTGTACTTTCCCGAGAATAATGCTTTTCACATTATCACAAAGAGGATGTGTTTCCAGTAGCATGTATGGCTTAAGGGCTAGGAGAGGTTCTAGAGCAATGGTTCACAACCTTGGGTCCCCATGTGTTCTCTAGAGCAATGGTTCCCAACCTTGGATCCCCATGTGTTCTCAGATTAAAACTCCCAGAAACATTCACTGCTAGCTGTGCTAGCCAGGATTTTCTGGGAGCTGAAGTCCAGGAACATCTGGTGACCCTAGGTTTGGAACTACTGTTCTAGAGAAAAAGAGTAGGTTTGTTATTCTCAGCATCAGGCACGTATAATGACAACAGATTTCATACAGCCAAAAACCACTCCTGTGACTTTGGATCTAGTTTTGTTCTGGGTCATGATACTCCAGATCAGCTGTCTGAATTTTCTTTCCGGTAGCTGCTTTATCTGTGCCTTTTATAGAAGGATTGATAGGATGACTTTGGAGTGGGTGGTTGGAAACAACACTAAAGAGTTTATATCAAAAATTTGGCTCTTAGGGCCAAGGGAGGGAAAACCTTTGGTACTAATGGAGGTTTTCTTCCCAGGCGAGAAGGAATTTTCATCAGTTCCACTGCAATCCCCACCTTCAGTGATCCCTGAAAATATCAACCCACTCCATCCCACCTATGTAGCACTGCTGGTTATCCTTAAAAAGCTCTATCTCAAAGAAGTGTTCATTTAAGGTTATTCTCCCATTTAGCCTCTTACATTACAGATTTATAATCCTCTTTCAAGCAGGAATAATAAATAATCTTTAATGTCTGCATTTCTGCACTAACGATTTAAATGTTCCTAAACATAATCCAAAAAAAAAAAACAACAACAACAACAACAACCTGTGGGATATGACATTTGATGAGTTTTTCTTTACATCAGATATTTTCAGGCATTTCCAGGAAAACCGTCCTGTTAAAAGGGATCCAGACAAAAGAGGAAGATGATGAGAATGTGCAAGATATGATTGCCATCCACTTCCAGAAACCAAGCAGTGGTGGTGGGGAAGTTGAAAGTGTCAGATATGTTCGAAAAGGAACCAAAATAGCATATTTTGAGAATGATAATACAAGTGATGTTATTTGATAGGCAGAAGATGAAATTCATTGCTAACTTACTGCCAAGAGCTTTACAGAATCTGCCTTGTAATAAAAATAAATAAGTTATGCCAATTAGTATGTCTGATTCTTTTCTAGTAGAAATACTGTATCTCACAAATACTACAGTTCTGATCCAACTAAGGTTAGTAATAACAATCTTGTGCTGATTTACTAAGAAATGGGGGATGTGCAACAGCTTTGGAGAAAACGTCCAAATGAGGTGGAACAAGAATATTTGTGTTTGTTGTCAGCTACAGGATGGTTCAGAAAGCTGCTAATTGCCTTTGGGTTGATTTGCACATCTCTGCAAATCACTAAAGATGACTCTGGCATTTTTGGAATTAGAAATGTTAAAAATATGGAGGAAAGAGGACTGGATGCCAATTGCTATAACTGAAGAAGGCATGCCAAAAAGATGGTGATTGTCAGCTGAAGCCCTGGTAAAAGCCAAAACCTCCCTTGGAAACTCCCAATCACTAAGATGTCGGGAGGCCTCTGATTGACTTCACCAGGCAGTATATGTTCCCATACACCCAATCAAGTCTGTAATTTTACTTTCCAGGCAGTGTGAAGAGGGTGTGCTACGTCACTTACTAGGCATTTTCTTCTTATTTAGCATTTGGGTAGCAATACAGAAACTTCATTACACTTAGGACTGAGTGTTGTGTGATAGTGTTCTGAGATGGGTGGGTGTCTGAGAAAAAAGTTGGTAGAAGCTTTCTTCCTCAATATTTGTTGGCTTTCAGTTTCTAGAAGTTGCCAGATCTTATGTCATTCTGCTGTAGAGCTTCTTTTTGGTTATGCTGTATCTCCTACACTTTTCTGGTGGGTCTGTAGTCTATTGTCCTCACACTCAAGAGGACCTTCCCAGCAAGATAAGGATATGATCACATCTTTGGCAAGAAGATTTTTAAAGCCTATAGATATTTTCTAATCACATATAGTGAAATTTTTACTCAGCAGTTTGGGCCCAGTGCTTGCCTTCAAAATACTAGTTCTGCATACGGCTTTGATGTTAGGAGTTCACTATCCAGTTCCTGATGAGCAACAATAGAAATGTTTGGTGCTAATGGGTATATCTGTTTTACCTTTATGTGAGTGAAAGGGCTCTTCATTCAAGTAGAAAATACAGGCATGGTATTTGAGATCTAGCTGTTGCTTCCATTGTTGATTGGACACTGGCTGCTGTTACGTCTTCATGGGATATATGTCAGGCTGTCGGTGAGAGCAAAGCCCCTCCCACAGGAGTGCCATCCCTCCTGCTCTCTGCCGACAGGTAGGTGCGAACACCACCCATTCCCCCTCCCAGGAAGATTAGACCACCTGAGCAAAACTTAGGGAACGTGGAGGAGAAACTGAGGGGAACGTCTGTTGGAGGTGGGGATCCCCATTCCCCCTCCCAGGAAGATTAGACCAGCTGAGCAAAGCCCAGGGAGCGTGGAGGAGGAACTGAGAGGAATGTCTGTTGGAGAAGGTGGGGATATTTTGGTGGGAAGAGAACGACAGCCCTGGGTGGAAGTAGAGGCGGGGCTGGGAGACATAAAAAGGGAGGAGGATAGCTTGCCTTGGGGGGCTGGGAGATATAAAAAAGGAGGAGGATAGCTTGCCTCCGGGTTGGGAGTGGATATGGCTAGAGGACACATGGACTGGAAAGGTGGAAAAGCTGAGGGTCCCAAGGGAAGAGGCAGATGCCTGGAGAAGGAGTGAGAATACACCTAAGCCCCCGTTATTGGGGTGAGCGTGAAACTAAGGAGTGGAGGAAGAAGCAAAGGAAGAGTAGAGAGAGAATGGAAAGGCTGATGATGGAGCAGCAATGGAAGGGATCTTTGGGAGACTATGGCCGGAGAACTCACCCTCCCAAGACCTGATCTGGACCGATGACAGCAACGAGGAGACAGTACCCCTATTGGAAGGGGAGAATGGACAATTATTAAATGCTTGACCTTTCTCTGGACTGGCTAGGTTCCCTGGAACACCTCGGAGACAAACCCCTTTAAAGTTGAAGATTGGAGATCCCTTCTTAACACATTCTTAGAGGGAGATAATAGAATATGTTTGTGGACACTGGTTGCTTGTTGAATAATCCAATAAATATAACCCCAGTTTCTAAGCCAAGAAGTCTGTGAATTTATTTGAAGAAAAGGGGGAGCCACAACACAGACCCTCACAACGTGTTAAGCAGGACAGGAGAAAACATGACTGAAATTGTCATTAGACAAAAAATGATCAATCTTAATACAATCATGGAAAACAGGTTCCAAATATAAATGGACGTTGATATACAAGTGTATGATTGTGATTCCAGTTTCAGACCTTGCATGTTGAGTTTGATTATATACCAAGATTTTAGAATGTACCGGTAACACTTTTTCCTTGTGACTCAGGGTGCTCATAATAAATAATAGGTTTTTAAGTCCAATGGTTTCTGTCTCAACAGTACCACACCCTAGTTCTTCAAACAAATTAGTTACCAGTGTAACAAACAATATGGTGGTGCTGGGGTATTGGGAGAAGAAAGACAGCAATTAGTGTAAAACACCATAATCTACTACATACAGTGCACATATACCCAGCACAGATAGATACATGTAGCAGAACAGTCGATGTTTAATTGTATTAACTGTCAGGTCTGACCTAAGACGTTGGTGCATGAAGTGAAGGACAAGATGGCGTCTCTTCTTCCATGTACAGAGGAATTTTACATCAGCATTGGTGAAAAGAGTCTTTCACCGTGCTAAGTACTGTAGACCTTTCAGAGGTAGGGTAGCCACTTAGGCATTGCCAAAAGGGGGGCAATGATTCGCACAAAATGCATATGCCAGTGGCTTTAACGTTACAGCTGATGAAGCAGTGGATTGGATATCACACCCCAGTTCTTAAAACAAAGAAAAGCAAGCATAACTAGTATAAAATTTTAGCAGTTTTCAGAGAAGCAACGATCTGCTCTGTAACAAAAGCAAATTTTCTATATATTCTTTTTAAAATTATATACAGTATAGAGAGAATGCTTTATGATTCTGAAGAAATGGCTGGCTAGGTAGGGTGGCCACTTAGGCATTGCCAAAGGGGGGCAATGATTCGCACAAAATGCATATGCCAGTGGCTTTAACGTTACAGCTGATGAAGCAGTGGATTGGATATCACACCCCAGTTCTTAAAACAAAGAAAAGCAAGCATAACTAGTATAACATTTTAGCAGTTTTCAGAGAAGCAACGGTGTGTTCTGTAACAAAAGCAAATTCTCTAGATTTTTTTTTTTAAAATTACAGTATAGAGAGAATGCTTTATGATCCTGAAGAAATGGCTGGCTGGAGGCGTGCAGATCTGCGCCCACAAGTCGTCCAAAAGCACCAATCAACATGCCTGCGATTGTAATTATCGAGAGCTCACACTGAAATAGATGGGTTATATGTCAAAGACTCCACAGTACTTTTATTGTTAACATTTCAGGCATTTAACGAAGTGGATTTGTGAACGGATGAAAACTTTCGAGGGGCACAACTTCCCTTTGTAAATAAAAAAAAACGAGAGATGGGTGGATGAGAAGATACAAATCACACCTTCCCCATTAAAGGACGCGAACCAACGCTTCGGCATCTACAAGTGGGAGCGACTTCGCCAAAGATCTCCCCTGCCCAAGGAAAGCAGCGACTTGGGGCTTGTAGTCGGAGGTTCCTTCCGCAGCACCTCCGGCCCTCATTGCTCTGCCCGGGAGGGGACTACACTTCCCAGCATGCAATGCGCCCGGCTGTTTTTTTTCCGCTTTCAAGGAAAGCACGTCGGAGAAACGAAAGCAAATATTGACTCTTCCCGTCTCCCAGGCAAAGATTTGCGGAGCGAGGACTGCGCAGTTATGGCAAGTGATGTGTCCTTGTTATCTTTAACATCCGATTGCTAAGAGAGCAGGTTTTGCAAGATGGGAAGGGTCCCAGTAGGCAGATGTGTAGTTTAAGAAGGATGCCAAAGAAAAGTTCACACAGATTACGGTAGTATCGTATTTTTTTTCCTTTTCTTTTCCCCAATTCTCCATAGCTACCAAAGCATGGTTGCTCTTGGCGATGGTTATTCAGAACAAACCAGACCAACACCACGTGTCTTGCCGATGTGTCTATGCAGTCTTATACGCATCAGTAATAATTGCGAGCCGTCAATTCAATTATGACTTACGGTGAATTTTTTTCGTGGTTTTCTAGGTAGTGAATAACCAAAAGTAGTTTTTCACTCCGTTCTTCTGGGGGCTTCCTAGGACTGGGCAGCTTGCCCAAGGCTACACAGGCTGGCCCTTCTCCCTGGAGGCACGGTGGGGAATCGAACACCCAACCTCTGGCTCCGCAGTCAGATAACCTAACTCACGCAACCATCCATCCAGCTTATACACGTTAGTTTGCCACATAAAGAGGGGCGTGTGTGTTTTATGGGGGAGGGGTGAATAAGTGGGGATGTGGCGAATTTTAAAGGAGTGATAGTTTCCAAGGTTTTAGAGAAACTGCTGTATATTAGGCAAGATGAACTTGTGGAGTTATTTATTGCAAGGAATTCTTGTCTAAAGGTGTTCTTTTTCACAGAAAAACAAGTGAGACATAAATGATAAAGGGTAATATATGGGTTGAACAAGCTTCTCATGCTGCCAGTTCAGTGCACATGGAAAATAACTAAATCAAGCATATGCCTTGTCTACCACATTGGTACATTTTCACTTTCAACCTAGATAGAGCGGAGCTTTTACAGTTTTTGGCCATGTAGCAGGACAGCCACATTCTGCATGCATAGGGATCACAAACTGGTATCTCATCAGATAGCTGCAGACTGCAGATACGTGTCTTCACGAGGCCAAGAGCTACCATATGGGACCTTTGATGATTCCAGGATATGGTAAGTGAAGCATTTCTTTCCATCTAGGCTAGAATCAGCAAAGACGTGCAGTGCTTAAGTTACATGGCCTTAAAAATGTTTTTCTAGCAATCTTCCTACCCCTTTCTCCCCGAATCTATTGAATCCTTTAGGAAGCGGCACTCCATTTTGGTCTTCCAGATATTTATGAACTTCAGCTCCCTTAACCCTTCACCTGCTGGGCAGGGAGTTGGAAACCAAACAAGTTACGAAGGCCACCACCGTTTCCCATCTCCTCACATTGGGAAGCTATCCAGTGGTTTCTGCTCTTCAGAGGATAAGGAAAACGACAGGAGCAGTGATGTAGAGAAGTTAGAGCCTCTCTGGAGGGAGGCTGCAGGCACTCAAGGAGTTTCGCACTCAGGCCTTTCAAACAAAAGGATACCCTTGCAAATCAGATGGAGGATCTGTTTGTTCTAGCAGTCAGCATCTAAAACTCACCAGATGTTTCTGGAAATCCCAGAAGTGGAGCAGGGTTCTGCCTCAGGGTTCCTCTTTCAGCAGCTGATATTTAAGAGGAATGCCACCTGTGAAAAAGTTATTCTTCCCAGGAGGATACTTTTAGGCTGTGAACATCAAATCAGAACGTAATGAAGGATGCTCAGACCATTCTGCATCATATGAAGCAAAATGGAAACTGTATACTAAAGACAGTGATCATTACATAAGCGAGTGCTTCCAGCACTTCAAGCGAGAAGCCTGTTAAAAATGGGACTTGTGTCATCTTAGATTAACAGTTTGTGGATAAGGCAGCTGAGCTGTCTCTTTGAGTCTGTTTCCTCGGTCCTGTGAGATGGCCATAGTTGGCATAATTCTGATTCCTTGTCAGATTTTTTTTAAAAGCTTCCCCTTTCAAGGCTTGCAGGCTTTAGTAATACTGCACTGACCGGTCTCCTTTTTCAAGTGGAAGTCCCAGGGCCAGACATTAAGTAGCATATACAGAAATGTGGTGCAAAAGTGATGTTGGTTGCAAGACGTCAGCAGTTATTGACAAGTTCTTCCCATAAATGCCTCAGGTACTGACATACCAAATTACGTCCAAAGCTCTTTACTTGGTCACCTTTGTACAAACTGGCGGCTCCAGCTTCTTCTCACTGGGAGTGAAGGAATTTATCACTGTCCTTTAAACCAGCCCATGAAGTGGGTTGCTCTCCTGCTGTCAGAAGTTATTAGTTGAAGTCGAATCTTGCTTTTCCACATGGCTTTTCCTCACTTTATTTTCACAACAACCCTGTCAGTTAGGTCCGGCTGAAAGAACAACTGTCCCAGTTTCATCCAGTGAGGATTATGGCTCTGTGAGGACCTGGATCTCCCAATTCTCAGTCCAACCCATCAATTTAATCACTACACCACAATATTTAGCAGTGACATGGGGTGGCATCTTGTTGGCGGCGTTGCCTAGAGCCTGACTGTGGAACTGCCTTTGTCCTGGAGTGGAGACTTTGAGCTGTCCCCTCTCCCAACCAGGCTTTTGAAGGAAGTACGTAGTCCAGGATTTCATTAGGCAGTAGAGAACTATACAGTTGTCTCTCATTCTGTTGGATCAGCAGCAGCATGAGAGACAAGTGTATTTCACAGCTACAGGAAAAAAAATGCCATTGTGTTGGCTACTCCACTGGAGTTGAAGAGATCAAAGAAGGGGGTGGGATTTTTCCTCCCTCAAAGGGAATTAAGCAGAAAGGCAGTCCTGCGAAGAATCTATATACAAAGTGGAGCAAGAGTGAAATCTTGCAATTTGAATTGCCATGGAATCTGTACTTTGGAAAGTGGGAGTCAGCGTTAGTTAACACTGGGGTTGGGAATATTTGGTCTCCAGAATACTTTGTACTTCCCATCAGCCCTATATAGCATTAATAAGGGATGATGGATGTTGTAGTATCTGCAGAGCACACTTTCCCAACTCTGAGTTAGTAGGTTGTGAATCTCCAAGTTCCTTGAAATCTCTTTAAACTAACTGTTCTCAGAGTAGTTTTTATTATTTTTGTTTTGTGTTGTGCTGGGTTTTTTTTTTTATTATGATTAAACAAGGAACTATTCCAAATCAGCAAAAGGAGCAATTGTATTGCAGCAAACAGAAATATGGGCATATAAACAGTTTTTAAAGCAATTCTACCTTTTCCATACTAAAATAAGCATAGCACTTCTTTTTAATAATGAAGTGCTATAGTGTCATAAATTTGCAAATAGTGCTATGCCAACAGGAGGTAAAGCGAGTGGAGTCTTCCGTACCATGTGCATAATAAGCTTTTGATTTAATGGCTCACTCTAGAGGATTTTGTTTTGATGTAGTATAATATGTTGAAAAACATACTTCAGATTCAGTGTGTTATATTAATACAGCGGTGCCTCGCTTAACGAGCGCACCATTTAACGACGAATCTGCATAGCGACCCGTTTTTTGCGGTCGCTAATGTGATCGCATTGCGATGTTTAGATAGGCTAAACATCGCATTGCGATCATTTCTGCACCCGGCGGCCATTTTTGGAACAGCTGATCAGCGGTTCCAAAATGGCCGCTGGGTGCAGAAAATGGCTGCCCGCACCATTTTCGTGCCCTGCCCTCGCTTACCGGGCAGAGAAAATGGCGGCTAGATCCAGGATTCTTCGCTTACCGGTGAGTTTTTCCTATGGGTTTTCCCTGCCCGGATAGCAAAGAATCCCGATAGCGACGTTAATCCTAGAACGGATTAATGTCGCTATGCAGGGCACCACTGTACAATGTAGGGTGGTAACCCTAGGAGTAGTGAGGCACAGGTCTGGATCCTCTGTTATCTGTGAAACATGGATGGCAATCATAGGCTGTTCTCTAGCAAAATCCTGTTGCTTAGTATAGTAAATCACACTAGTTTAGATTTATGAAATCAGTAGGAATTTAATGAGTCAGCTGCTCCATAAATTCCATTGATTTAAATGGGCCTACTCTAACTGTGACTTGTTACGCTAAAAGAAGTCACAACTAGAGTAGGCCCATTTGAATTAATGGAACTTATGGAGGAGTTGACTCACTAAATCCTGATTGATTCAGTGGGTCCATTTTAGTGTGATTTACTATGCTAAGCGACAGAATTTTGGCCAATAACTCTAGGCCTAACCTACCTCACAGGATTGTTCTGAAAATAATATTGGGAGAAGAGAGCCATGTGTGCAGGTACTGAGCTCCTTGGAAAGAAATCAGGTATATAAATATACCTGATAAATAGATATAAAAGAAAACATGATAGTTTTTTTTGTTTCCTCTCTAATTTTAAGGTTCTGTACATTGAGTCTTATGCTGCTGTGTGTATAATTATAGTTGGTTATTGAATCTTTAAACAGTAGATTAGGCATATCTAAATGTTATTTATGTAAAATGTTTATACCCCACTTTTCTCAAGAGGACCCAATGCTTATAGTATTGAAACAAACAAAATAAAAACTGGAAGAGGGTGGGGAAGAAAAAAGCCCTGCGGTCCCACTCTCAGGCAGCCAGTTATTTAGAAAGCCTGCCTGAAGAGAACGATCTTTGCATGTCTGTGGAAAGGCAGCTAAGAGGGGGCCAGCCTGGCCTCCCGTGGGAGGGAGTTCCACAGCTTGGGAGTAGCAACAGAGAAGGCCCTCCCTCTGGTTTCCTCAACAAATGCACCTGTGAGGGCGATGGGACTGAGAGAAAGGCTTCCTCTGATGATTTTTAAAACCTGGGCAGGCTCATAAAGAGAGGTGAGGGCTTTCAAGTAGCTTGGACCCAAATCATTTAGCGCACGGGTCCCCAACCCCCATCCCACGGCCCGGTGCCAGTCCGTGGAGACGGATCTTCTGCCCCCCTGCATGCACTCCCTCCACATGCACTCCCCCCACAGCCCCTTCACGCATGTGCGCGAGTGCATCCTGCGAGCACCCCGGCCCCTATGCGTATCCGCATGTACCATGCGAGTGCACATGCACTCTCCCCGCACAGCCCCTTCACACATGCGCGGGAGTGCATCCTGCGAGCACCCCTGCCCCTATGCATATCCGCATGTGCCATGCGAGTGCCCCACCCTTTTGTGCATGCACACAAGTGCCCCTTCGCGCAAACGCGTGAGTGCCCATGTGCCTGTGCAAGTGAGCACCACCATTTCGCACATACGTGCGAGTGTGTGTGGGGTTTTCTCCGCCTCTCCAACTGGTCTGCGGTGTCAAAAAGGTTGGGGATCACTGATTTAGAATACTATTAGTCACAATCCGCAGTTTAAATTATGCCTGGAAATGGACATTAAAAAATAATATATTTTACATTTTTTTGCTCTGTTGTGTATATTTCTAGATTAAATGGTATATTGTTAAAATGTTCTAACAATATAAAAGCTGTTCTGTCAAAGTGATCCCAGATCAAACATTTGCTTGGTTTACCAGTGAAACAGGATTCATTTCTTTTCCAGGAGAACGCAAAGCAATTGTGAAAAGTCTTCCTGCGGTCTGAGATCAAGCTGGATGGAGCATGCATCCCCATAAAGCAGGATGTCCCTTAACGGTTGGAAACAGGCAGGGACAGTAATCAACCAGCTTAACTTGTGCTTTCCATGTCCCATGTGTTTCTTCACAGGCTACTGCACAAGCTGCCAAATCAGAAAGAACAATTGTGGTCTGTGGCATTCCAGATGGCCTTCTCAATGATGATATAATGGCTGACATACTAATGATTCATTTTCAAAAAGCAAAGAACAAAGGTGGTGATGTGGAGGACGTTGCCTATCCGACAGCAACCAAAGGAGTGGCATACGTAACATTTGAAGATAAACGAGGTAATATCAAAAGAAAGAAGTAGACATTTGGAACCTTAACCAGAAAAGAAAATTCATGTTCTGTAGATGCCTGCATGCTAGACATACTGGCATAGGAGGTGGAGTCTGGTTTGAAATCTCTCACAGTTTCTATTTTTTTTTCTCCCTGCCATTCACTAGACATATAAATGCGAACAGATTTTAGAGAGCGTATTTGTGTGGGTGTTTTAAAATACTTGCACAAGAATAAAATATACATACTGCCGAGCAGATGAGAATTGTGCAGCCAAGCCTTGGGGGAGTAGAATTGCTGCCAATTAATCTTGTAGTGAGACAGGCTCCTGTCTATCTCCTCTGAATGATTCGGTGTGATGCATAAAATATCAAGAGGTAATATTGAACATTGGGAGGAATCCCAAAGGAAGCCCATCAAGAGGGGGGGAAAAGAGAACAGGGAGGGGCAAAATACTGGCAAGATATTCCAGCCTTTGAATTGACAGCAAAGTACCCTTAACTTCTGATTTCCCTCCACCCCCTCAAAAACCAGAAGAAAATTTGAATCTCTCCTCAGTTGCAGAGAACGTCCTTCAGAAAGGTGAACACAGACTAGAGGACAAGAGACTGTATAAGGGCTATCCCTTGAAAGTGTCACCCTGTGGACAGAGTGTAAGTAAGAACAGCTTGGGGGGTTTCCTTGGATGACTTGCAGTGCCTTTGGTCTGGACCTCTGGCTGTTTAGGGATATGTTTTAACAAAGTAGCTCTTTTGGTCAAGAAGGCAACTTTTTTTAAAAAAAATCTGTTTTGCGTACCAGGAGATATCATAAGTTCGGGATAAGTGAGGTCTCAGAGGAAAGGGGAAACTTCCTTGTCCTAGAGGGGGGGAAAGGAATTCTAAAATGGTGTCCTGCAGTTGAAAATATGTATACAGTACTTCTTCCTCCGCCCCATAAAAACATACTATATTCTGTTTACCAGGGTCTTTCTAGCACCCAGCAAATTGCGTATAGGTAACCATGATTGTCTACTACAACCTACACAAAGTCTGCTCTCCTGAAGGCTAAAAGGGAGACAGGGAAGAGCATGTATGCAAGCCCCAAACCCAACATCTCTACCCTGTTCTCTCTCTCTCTGGCCTTCCTGTGTTGAAGCAGAAGATATGAAGAGAGCTTTTACTTGCTTTGCTTGAACATAAACAGAAGTAGAAGTTACAAGCCATGATGGGGATGTATAATCTCCAGGCTTGAAAGGAAGGTACCTCAAAGTGCCAGATGTAGGGGAGGGATATCAGGAGATAGGTATCTCGTTGTCTCATGTGCTCCCAGAGGCATCTGGTGGGGCCAGTGTGAGATACAGAAAGCTGGACAGGCCCTTGGCTTGATCCAGCAGGGTTCTTCTTATGTTCTAAGACTGTGGACTTTAGAACTGAATGAGAGCAGAAGCCTCTTTCAGCTCTCCCCTGTCCACATAGGAAGGTCAACAACTGCAATTGTGGGGACCAGGACACTAGTCGTGATGCCGGTGGGAGGGACTACATTTTTTCCTTCCCACTTTTAGTTCCTACGGGATGATCAGGCTGCATAGACTTGAAGGCTTCTATCCAGACTTCCTCATGCTTACGGTAGAGCCATTAAAGTTAATCCCATTAGTTTTGATAGATCTGCTGTGGGTATAAATAAGTCCGGATTGGGCCTACAGAAATGATTTACATTCTCTTAAAGGTGAGCAGTAAAATGGTCGCCTCAGCTCTTCTGGATTGGACCCCCTTCATCCTCTGTATGTCTCTCAGTCTGAGGGAAGAATCTATAGAGAGTATGACAAGATGGTTGTAGTGAAAAGACATGACATTCACATGTGCCTTTAAGCAGGAGTGGGACATTTTGGAAGGTGTGCGAGCCATTGTTTGGGTCAACGGGGGCCATTCTAGTGTGGCAAAAGACTAAATAAATAAATAAAATGTTAAAAAAAAATGAAAAAATGTGGAGGAAAGTTAACTTTCAGTTTCCACAAGAAGGGGGGTTTGAGGGTCCTGCACTCCCCCCCCCCCAAATTCCACAATCTATTTGTTTATTGTTATTGCAGAATTTGTTTTCAGGAGGTGAATCCAGGGGCAGCAAAAAGAGCCTGCTGGGAGGGGGGCTCTACTCCCCCCAGCTTTAAGTGGAATATTTTTAAAAAATGAACTTTGTTTCCTTTGTGTGTTCTGTGATGTCAAGTTGGAACCAAATGATAGCAGCCTTAATAGGGTTTACAGGGTATAGTGAGAAATTTAAGGAGTGGCTATGCTGGTTCCACTCCCGCAGTGAGTTTCCGTGGCCAAGTGGGGATTCGAGCCCTGTTCCCCAGAGTCCTAGTACATCACTCTGTCCACTACGTCACACTACGAAGACACTGGGAATTTGTTTCTTGTTTTTACAGAATTTGTTTTCAGTAGATGAATTCTAAAAGAGCCTGGTGCAGGGACTCTATTCCCCCTGCCCAGCTTTAAGTGGAATCTGATTTTAAATTGAACCTTGTATCCTTTGCACCTTTAGGTTTTTAGCTGTGTAACATGCATCCTCAATTTGTCTATTCTTGGAGAAAAACACAACTTGGAAGACCTGGTGGAAGAACTGAAGAAGAACCTTCCAGATTTGAGCTTTGGCCCATTTCTTCCTGGTGGGCACATACATGTTCAGGGGCCATTTTCAGCTGTCTGCACCCTCCAGAATAAGCTTGTGTTAAAAGCCAAACACTCTGTTTCGGAACAAAATGACAGGAAAAAAGAAAGGGTACCAAGTCCCAGGCCAAACGTGAGGCCAGGAAGGAGTGGATTTTCATCAGAGCCGAGAGAAAACTTTATTTCGGATACAAGCGAGGAGATCCTAACAGTTGTCGTTGATACAGACATATATCACTACATGAAAACATTCAAAAATAAGCTATATCAGAGGGCTCTAGAAAAATATTGTGTGAATACTTCTACATCAACAGATGGTGACGTTACCACCATATATCTTTATAGGGACAGCACCAAGAAAGGTCCAAGCCCGGTAGAAGACGCCAAAAACACAATGGAAAGTTTATTCGCAGAACTGCATGGCTCATTACGCAAAGAAAGATTGTCTCAGAAAGGGTTAACAAGAATTGAGAAAAGAGAATACGAGTGGGCTTGTGAGGTTGTTGGTGTCTTGTTTCCAAAAGTTCTGATTGTACCATATTCAACTCACATAGACATTATAGGATTCTCCTCAGACATTTACGAGTTTTCACGGCAAGTGAATAAAATGGCAGGGAATTCCCATAAAGAGCCTCAGAAATAGTTGGCAGCTAATTTGATACGTTAATGATAGTCTTCTGTTGTGCTGTCTGTCCATAATATGGGTCAGTTCCTGTTTGCTTTACCTTGTTGGCTCACAGGAACTGGAAAAGTAATGGGCAAGTACAGTTGCGAAGATGGGAAGACGTGTGGAGATTTTTGGTGGAATTACTAGAATGACTTGTGTGAGCTCAAACACTGACAGGTGAATGAACACCAGCCAACCAATGGATATCATGAAAGTGGTACAGCTTGGCACGACAAAACTAAGTTGAAAACTGATTGTGCCCAGTTGTACTTCTGCTTCTGAACATCAGCATTTTTTAGAAAGCAAAGTTAAATGTGTAGTAACTTTGTTCCACTAAAGCCCCAGCCCTGTATTCTCAGCATGTTGTTCAGTTTCAAGTTTTCTGGTGCTGATTACTTCCATGAGCTATTTGTACACAAGATGATATCTGTATAAGAAGTGTAGACAGCTAAAGACTATTTTTCTTAGTATTTATATTTTATTAAAAATTGATTTCAAGTACCTTTCTCCTATATGTAGCTTGGTTTCACAGTATTAAAGGTCTTTTTATACCCAGTGCTATAAAACTGTTTTAAATTATTCTTCTAGCACAATTTTTCTATATGGAAAAGTGGGAATCAAATGTGCCGCTCCTCTCATAGGCCTTCCCCCCCCCCAAGTTCAGGAATAAGGAGACATGAATGACTTAATTGTGTAGTGAGGGGTAGGCTAGACTACCTTTCCTCAAGGAAACCTGAAAGGAGGTTTGGCAGTCCACATCCTTCAGTGTTGCTTACATTTTCTGTGATACAAGTTTCACCGATGCACATTAAATGAACGGACTGGCAGAGGGAGATGTGGGCAAAATCTCTCTTTGGAGATGGTAGCTGCTGTTCCTTCAAAATATATAGTACTAATCCAGTGAAGACAGAAATATGGAAGAAGGAACAACTGTAATCGAGGAACTTGCTGCCAGGTCACTTCAGGGAAGATTGTTGGGGTGCCGGATAGCTATCTGGCTCCCAGTTGTTCCTAGCAAAATTGCTGATCAGGGATTTAAACCCTCTTAATATTAAATGATGATAAATGATTGGGAGGCATCTAAATTAGCTTCAAACAAGGATCCAGGGTTTTTAAAAAATAATTTACACACAAATGAAGTTTTGCTGATGGTCCTAAGTGTCACATGGAGGCAGTACATGTTGCAAGTTTCCCAACAGAAAGACCATAGGGAAGTCAAAACAAGGATGTTCTGCGTTGGCCTATGGTGCAGTTAACCAGAATAACAGAATCAAAGGGCTCAGAACCAGGCTATTTCGATAGCCAGAGATACTCCCTATTCTGTGGAAGAATGAAGATGGATTTTTCAGGGGGAAAATTGCACCTCTCCCCCATCGAGGCTGGCATCTCTTGTCTTGCATCTGGCCTCTAGAATAGAAGTACTGGTTAAATGTTCTCCTGACCTAAATGTTCTCCAGAATATCACTGGGTGGGGGGAGTAAAAATGTAGAGGAATGCTTGGGCACACCAATCATATAGTGTATATAGCTGTTGAGTGGTCTGAAATATGTATGCCACTTTAAGCCCCTGTCCATCAGGGATGGGGACTTGAGTCGTGGGACTTGCTGTCAAACCAGATATAAGTTGCACTGGCAACTTAACTTGGACTGCATTCGGGGTTGTTGTGTTCCCCTCCCCCCCAGTGACTTGGACTTGACTCCTGACTCAGAACTCACCCACCCCTCCCTTTTTTTCTGCAGAAAAAAAACACCTTAGTTTTCAATAGGAACTCTGACTTCGGACTTGGTAGCAAAGACTTCTCGAATTGGCCTCCTCAGCCACACTAGACACTGTTCCAAGTCCTCCATACAGAGCACGTTACCATAGTCTTTCGAGACTGAAGGATGCCTAACTAGGTCTGAAATATGTATGCCACTTTAAGCCCCTGTCCAGCAGGGATGGGGACTTGAGTCGTGGGACTTGCTGTCAAACCAGATATAAGTTGCACTGGCAACTTAACTTGGACTGCATTCGGGGTTGTTGTGTTCCCCTCCCCCCCAGTGACTTGGACTTGACTCCTGACTCAGAACTCACCCACGCCTCCCTTTTTTTTTGCAGAAAAAAACCTTAGTTTTCAATAGGAACTCTGACTTCGGACTTGGTAGCAAAGACTTGGACTCTGACTTGGGACTTGGACTCAAAGAGTTGCCAACACCCCTTCTGTCCAGTGAGACAATTAAAAGCAGACAGGCAACAAATCAGGTTTTCTATCATGAAAACATGCTAGTAGTATGAACAACTTGGAGACTATGATCTGTAGCTTGTGTCTAATGATACTTTCCTGTTCATTGTAAATGCAGCAATTATTGCATATAACACAATTGTTACTTTATTGGATTCTGTCGTGTAAGCAGCTTTGAGAAGGTTTTATCTCTATACAGTAGGTGCCACAAAACAAGTAAATGGAAGAATAAGACCAGCTGACATAAGAAATCAGAAAGAAGGCTGAAAAGTTAGAAGAAGGCACAAGAGGGAGCCAAATACAATGCAGCTGTATTTTCACTTGTGAAAAAAAATCAAACCCATGCACCCTCTCACTGAATTCCTGTATTGGTGGAAGATAAATCCTGATCTGTAGAATGACAAAGACAAAGTTTCTGTATATAATTAGGAGCACTGTGCAATGGGTCTGTATTGTCGCAACAGTAGATTTCTGCATGGCTGCACCACTATATCTTAAAAGCAGCCCTCCCCAAAGTGGTGTCCACCAGATGTTTTGGGTTTAAACAACAGGAATTATGGGAATTGCATTCCAGTCTTTGGAGTGCACCATCCCACTGAAGTTTGATTTTAGGCTAAACATGGCTGAAATTGCAGTGGCTTTCAAGGCAAATTTAAGTGTTCAGTAAAGTATCTAGCCTCAGAGCCACAGGCTGGAAGGTCAATTCCCCACTGTGTGTAAGAGCCAGCCAGTGTTGCCTTGGTTAGATTGCACAATTCCAGATTGCTCCCAGAATAAGGGAATGGCAAATGATTACTGAGTATTCTCTATCTGAAAAACCCTGGAAAGGGTTGCCATTAGTCAAAATTGACTTGATGGCATATTATTATTATTATTATTATTATTATTATTATTATTATTATTATTATTATTATTATTATTATTATTATTATTATTATTATTATTATTATTATTATTATTATTGGTTGGTTTCTGATGTCCA